CATCGCTCCTCTCCATGTAGCTCCCTCGCTCTGCAAACAAGAAAGCCAGCGGGGGGTGAGGGTGATGAAATAAAGCTTAATGAATAACCCAAGGGACCAGCCAAGGTGGGCGTGTGGCGGCCTGAGGTATCAGGGACAGGGGCTGGCTGACGAAGGTGGCCCTGGGAGGGGACAGGTCGCTGACCTGGCCGGTCTCTCCAGCCTCATCTGATGCAGCCACCCTGGCTTTCCCCTCCCCAACCTCTTTCAAGCCAGGAGCTCTGGAGCCTGGCCCCTCTGGGTGTGAGCCTTGCTTCTGCCGCTGCTGTGTGACCTTGGGAAAATGCCTCGACCTTTCTGAGCCAAGTCTGATTCCACAATGTAGAGTTCATTACAGTGCTCACCTCCCAAGGGCTGGCATACAGTAGGCATAATAAATGCAGCAGTTGTGCCTTTTGTCCAAGCCTGAGCTGTGCGCTAAGGCCCTACTCCTCCAGGAAGCCCTCCCTGAGCCCATCCCACCCTCAGCTGTCCAGTGGGGACTGTCTGTCCTCTGTCCCCCTAGGGGGTGTTAGAATTGTCACTGTATTGGTTGTTTTCCTCTCCACTCCAGGCCGGGAGCCACCTCAGGGCATGAACTGGGTTTTACCATCTGTTCCCAGCGCCCAGGTCAGGACAGAACACCTGGGGATGGGCGCATGTTTAATGTGCAGATGGGAATGAAACTGTCAGCATTCTCATTGGGGATCAGGGCCAAGCAGCTTGATTTGACCCCAAGTGGCTGGGAGTTAATCATCAAACCTGAGGAGGTCACCCAAAGTCCAAGAAGGGCCCAAAATATCTGGGCTGCCAGGTCCTTCCTGGACCTCGCCTCCCACCTGACATAGAGGAAAACTGAGGCGCAGAGGGATGGGACTAGCTCAGGTTCACCCAGCGAGACGGTGAAAGAGACAAGATGTGAATCTCGTTACATCAGTCTCCTGCCCACAACCTCCCATGGCTCCCTAGTGCCCCGGGGTAAGGTCCAGACTCTGCATTGGCACAGCCATCCCTGTGGGCTTGATCCCTGCCCACCCCTCCAGCCCCAAACCCGCCTGCTCTCCCGCCCCTGCCTTCCCTGTTCCAGTCCTGCCGTGTTTTCCAATTCCAGACCTTTGCACTTCGATTCCCGGCTGAGCTCAGCCTTCTCCTTCTCCAGGAACCCTTCCCAGCCTTTTGGGGCCAAGTGACATCCTTGCTCTGGGCACCCACAGCCCTGCCAGTGCCCGATGGCACTGACTGTAACTACTTTTCAGTGACACTTTGGGGCTCCACGAGGACAGGGAACATGCTATTTGGTTTGGGGCTAAAGGTCCCGGGATGTGACACATAATAGGTGACCAGTAAATATTTGTTGAATGTATGAATCAATCGCCAGTCATTCATTTGGAAAATAAATAATTGTTGGGCCCCTGTGTTGGGTGTGAAACGTCAGAAGTGACTCGGTAGAAAATATGCCTTTCTCAGGGGACAATTGTTTCTCTGTCCTTGGGACCAGCATTGACTCGAAGATGTCTGTTGTGAAAGAGATGATCCTGGATGAGAGACAAAGGGTTTTCTCACTGGCTGGGTGGCCTCAGCCAAGTGAACTTCCCTCTCTGAGCCTCAGTTTCTTCATCTATCAAATGGGACCAGGCAATGCCTGCGTGGTGGACAGCGCACCGGGAGGCAGCGAGGGTTGACCTCCCCCTCTCGCTCTCCAGCCCTGAGCTGTCTCTTTAACGCGGGAGGAGGGGCCAAGGCCACCGGAGGCTGCGGGAGGCTGGGCAGAGCCGGTGCCAGTTAGGCTGGTTGGCAGCAGGTTGCAGCCAAGTTGGTCCAGGAACTCTTGGGCAGAAAGGTAAGGGGGCCTGGGGCCCAAATGGGGTCCCCGGGGCTCTGTGTGCACCCGTAAAGGTGCATGTAGGGGCAAAGTCCCCGCTGAGTGGGTGGAAAGTGAGAGAGGCTAAGCGCTGCCAGGAATATTGATTCAAGTTGGGGCACCCTGGGCCCGGCCTGCCTTGCAGCAGGGGAGCAGGTTTCTATTGCCAGGGGGCGGGGAGCATCCTGCCAGCCAGGGGCCGGCTGAGGTTTCCCAGCCCTGGTGCCAGGAATTAGCTGTGGCGTGTCACCCAGGTGGCCTCTGGGGAAGAGCCAGAGGGACAGGGAGCTGGAAAAGGGAGCTGGTCTTTACCCAGTTCATGGATGCAACAGATGGGGCCCAGGGAAAAAAAGTGACCCGGTCAAGGTCAAGCTTGCTGGGACCTGAACCCAAGCCCTGGGCTTCACGCTCTATTGCGGTTATGAGCACAGATGCCAAAGCACACTGCCTGAGTCTGAATCCTGCCTGTGCCGCTTCCAGCTGTGTGACCTTAGGCAAATTACTTAACCTCTCTGGGCCTCAGTTTCTCTCTTTTTTAAAAAAAGACTTTCCATTGATTTTTATGGAGAGAGTAAGGGAGAGGGAGAGAAACATTGATGAGAGAGAGGAACATCAATTGGGTGCCTCCTGCATGTCCCCCACCAGGGATCAAGTCCGCAACTCCGGCATGTGACCCTATCGGGAATTGAACCAGCAACCTTTTTGGTGCACAAGACGATACTCCAACCACCAGAGCCACACAGGCCAGGGCTCAGTCTCAGTTTTTATTTTTTTTCATATATTTGTATTGATTTTTTTAGAGAGAGAAAGGAAGGGAGAGGGAGAGAGAAAGTGAAACTTTGATGTGAGAGAGAAGTATCGATCGGCCTCCTCCTGCAGGAACCCCTGTTGAGGATCTAGCCCGCAACCTGGGCATGTGCCCTGACCAGGAATCAAACCAGTGACCTCTTGATTCATGGGAAGACGCTCAGCCACTGAGCCACACTGGCCAGGGCTCAGTCTCAGTTTTAATGATCACCTCCTCTGAGAGGTCTTTCCTGACCTCCCTACCCAAAGCACGTCCCCTTGTTTTTCTCTTCAAGATTTGCTATATGCATGTTTCCCTCTTAGCAGTTTTCACTGTTTCTGATTAGTTTGTTTGTCTATACAGTTATTTGTTGAATGCCAATCTCCCCATCAGACTATAAGTCAGCTCCAACGGTAGATGTCTGTCTTGCCCCATGTTATCCCAAGTTCCTAAGCCAGGACCTGCACCTTGTAAACATGCTAGAGTAAGGGTGGGCACACCAGCATAGTCAGACACCCCGATAAGATAATCCCTCCAGAGGACTCAGCCAGTGCCTGGCCCATCACAGGGACTCGACAAAGGATAGCTATTATTATATTAATATGCGCCATAACCTGTGAGTTAGGGACTGTTATTCATATTTTACAGAAAAGGAAATGGGCACAGAGAGGTTGAGACACTTGTCTGGGTTGCACAGCCAGGGGGTCATAACTGGTCTCTCACTTTGATCTCTGATTGGCCCCAAAGTCCACATTCTTGGGCTCTGGGGCTGAAGTGAAGCCTAAGTCAAGGGGTGCTGGGTTTGGGTGACTCATGGGCTGTTCTCCGCCACCGCCAGGCTCAGCTCAAGAGGTGCCCTGGCTGGAAGTGGGTGGGGGTGGCCCAGGCTTCACCCTGCCTGGGGAGCCCCAGGGCCATCCCAACAAAGGCCAGGGGGTCAAATCCAGGGATGGTAGACCTGGAGCTCTTCCATGGGGGGACCCCAGCCCTGGCTAAGTAAGGGTGGACCATGAGCTTG